GCTTTCAGTTTGTTTTCCTCCTTGGCATTCATGATCTCCTCTCACCAGGGAAGGGCTTTTGCATGCATTTCTAAACTGAGAATGATTCCACTATTCATGCTGCAAGGTCTGGAAGTCCACTCCTAGGAAACTTTAGAATCAGGCTGCAGAATTCTTCTGGGCTCAGGCCTCTGAAGACTCCCATGGAGAGACTTCCCATATAGGGACCTTCACTACTGGCCCAGGTACAGTTTCAGTTATAGCTGTGGAACCTGACCTTTCCCTGAAAGCCTAAGAAGTATCTGTTGTCTAAGGAAAAGAATCCTTGGCTAAATCAAAGGTCTTGGGTTTTTTGCCTGGGCTTCAGAGCAGTTAGAGCATGAGATTCAGAGGCAGGCTTGGCCTGTAACCCAAGCCTCACTACTAGTCTGCTTTGTAGACTTCAGTCAGTTACTTAAACCTCTCCAAGTCTTTGCTTCTTTGTAAAACAGATATAGTAAAGGTACCTACCTTCAGAAGGTATGGGGAGGATTTAACAAGATTATATACACAGGTACTTTATAGAGCTTAGTAGGAGATTAGTCAATGGTGGTTCATTAAATAAGGGTATTTAATGTGGGAGAAAGCAGAACCTAGAAGGTTGCAGTGGGTGGAAATTACCCCTTCCCATTCCCACTGTCCCTTCCTTGACTCAAAGCTAGGACTATTGCAGTATCTCCTAGCGTGACCATGCATACCTACCTTGTACTTGGCCTTCGATTCCTTTTACTCTTCTACTTCAACACTCTTGAGACTGCTCATAATCATAAAACGTAGACAAAATTTTCCCCAACCCACATTTCCCATCACAGTTTTTTATAAAAGAACACAGAGGTGGAGTCGGAAGACATGGATTCTAGTGCTGAATTGGCTATTTTCTTCCTAGGTGACAGGGTAAATCATCCAGTCTCAGATTCTACATTCAAAAGTTGAAGATTATAAAACTGCCTCATGGGATGTCTCATGATTTATATCGAACTGCCTACCCTTAAAACTAGACTGTAAGTGGGGTCACAGGTAGGGCCACAAACATAGCGTGCATCCTTGTATCCTTAGCACCAAGCCAGGGCCAGGCAGTGGTAGGTGTTCAGTACACACTTGAATGAATGAATGAATGAATGAATGAATGAATGGACAGGATTGGGAGGTTTATTGTGGCATAACCTAGGTAAAGCATCTTGTGTGGGGCCCAGGAGGCATGCCCAAGTGTTAGCTGCTGCTATGCATGTTACTAATGCAGAGACTTTCGGCAAATACCCTCCTTACTCTGGATTTGTTCATCGAAGGCACTCCTGGCTCTTATTTTTTGGATTACTAGAGACAGCATGCAGAAGGAGCTCAACAAATAAATGTTTTCTCAGTGGATGAAGTCTCTTCCACGGCTCTGAATGGCATTGATGCTATCTAAACAAGGATCTGAGTTAGCTCCTGGGCCTGGCTCCCCTCTGTCCTTTACCCCATGAAGAAGATGGGGCCTCCTTGAGATCTTTGGTACATTCAGTTCGGGAAGCCTGAAGCCAGGTGGGTATGTGGCAGGGGTTCTGCGAGCTGGGGCAGGAACTCCAAGGGAGGAGATGGAATGTGGGCTTAGAGAAAGCTGGCCAGAGGAAGCCAGGCAAGGGACCCTGTTGTTTCAGAAACTGACAGCCCTGCATCCTGGGAGAGAGACTGATGAGTGGCTTCAAGGGGGTGGGCCCGGTAAGCTAGGTCAGGGACTGGCCACTGGCCGAGGTGGAGAGGGAGCCGGAGCAGAAGACGGGAAATGTGGGGGTGTGAGCTGGCCCGGGGGACACAGAAGGCCGCAGGGGAGGAGTTGTGGGGAGGAGGGACCAAGAGACAGAGGCCCCGAGGGCCGCCAGAGGACGCGGGGTCAGTGCGGAAGGGGCGCGGAGAGCGCGGAAGCGGCGGCGGGTGGGGTGCAGGGCGGGGT